TACAAAGAGGTACAGTACACTCTAAACAAAGTCAATTTTACTCCATCCGAGCACGAACCAAATTTCTGTGCCAATACATTTGCGTGTACATACAACATGTGGCACTGCCGATACATATCCCCATCATCACACAATCATTTATAACATGACCCAAATACTTAACTTCATTACACAGTTAAAATATTACCAGATAGCTTAAAAAAGGGAATACAAAGGACCTATCTTCTTTTGTGTGACATATCATAATAACACTTTTTGCGGCATTATACATCATGATGATCTTCAAACACAGAACATGCATTCAAGAGCTGCTGAAGACCTGCTGAGCTGAGAGTAAAAATCACAAGGTTGTCTGCATACATTAAATGATTCACTACTATACCTCCAACCATACATCCAGTTCTACACATATTTAACTCTTTAGAGAGACCATTCATGTAAAAGTTGAACAAAATCGGGGACAGCAGGCTACCTTGTCTTACCCCATTGCGGGGCGTACCAATATGACAAGCATCTCACTATATATTTAGGCACTCGGGCATCACACAATTTCTGGAATAGTTTCCTATGATTCACACGATTGAAAGACTTAGAGGCATCTAAAAAACACAAATACAGTAGAATTTTTACTTTTATATTTACTTACTAATTCTTTTAATGCAAATATACACATATCAGTTCCATGATTGGTTTTAAACCCAAATTGGTTCTCAGTGGAGCTAATAAGATTGTGAAACCTACTCAAGAGAATTTCTTCAACAACTTTAGAAAGTTGCAGGAGCTAAAAGCACTGTCATCAAGGAGTCAGGCATAAACCCATGCATAACAAAAGAAGTAAAGCATATGGCTAGAAGAGGTGCCAACCTCATACTAGCATACTTAAGATGTTCTGCAGAAATGTTGTCCATCCCAGTAGACTTATTTGCAAACAAATTGTTTATTGCTTGGGAAACTTTTCAACAAAATGAACCCTACCTATAGAAAAAGCTTCACTTGGGACACAGTTAAATAAATCACAATAGTGGAGCCGCCAAAAACTCAATCTTATCTGAACTAGAGATTCCATCAATAGTATGAGGTAGAGAAAATCTATTGTTATTAATATATTTAACATCTTTCCAAAATGATTTCGTATTGTTCCTTATTAGTTTTTCACCATAGAGTCAGCCCACAACTTTTGTTCATTTTTCGTAATAAATCATATAGCATATTTATATTTTGCACTTGTACGCTTTTATGCTCAAATATAGGCCCATATCTGGGTTTACCAAAAAGAGCCCAGGAAGTTGTTGCATCGCGGGCTCTAGCCTTAAGTGCTCCAACCAGGCTTAATTAACATCGGTACAGTTAAGATCTTTACACACACAACTGCCTCTCTAGGAAGAGAAATATCACATAACAGCTTGTCAGTGTAGGTACGATAGCAGGCAAAATCCTCTGTAGAAAGAGTGGAACAGTCCAAACATTCATGTCAAAGGTCAAAGTGTTTATTTGTCATATGCACACTTAGGAAACGTGTTTCCCTGTACAATGAAATTTTTACTTTGCCGTCCACATGAATGCCACAAAATACTAATGAAATATAAAGTAGTAGTAGTAAATAAGTAACACAAAATCTAAAGCACTTTAAGCAGCAAATGCAGCAGTATAATAAAAATATATAAGAATATAATAAGAGAATTATGCTGCATGGGAGCAGCATGTGCAGTAGTCAACAGTCAATGTGCAATTATGCATGTGCAAACTGAGAATGTAAACAGTACATGACATATTTCCCGGTAAACTCCTCAGCTGTTTAGGAGTCAGATGGCAAATAAAAATACAAGAACACAATATAATGCAGAGAGAATATATGCTACTGATTGTAAATACTCAGCAGTGGGTGTGCAATTGTGCTTGTGCAAAATGAGGATGTAAACAGTACAGATGGAATTACATGAGGTAGATCCTGAGTCAGCTGTTTAGGAGTCTGATGGCAGAGGGAAAGAAAGAGTTTTTCAGTCTGGAGGTCCTGCATTTCACTCTTCTGAGCCTTTGACCGGAGGGCAGGGGTATGAACAGTCTGTGCTGGGGGTGGGTGGGGTCCTTGAGGATGGAGGCAGCTTTCCTACGCACCCTACGGTGGTGAATGCTCTGCAGAGAGGGCAGTGGAGTCCTGGTGATCTTCTCCGTAGTCTTTACCATTCTCTGCAGGCACTTGCAGTCCAAAGCATTAGTACTGCCATACTAGACAGTGATGCAGCTGGTCAAGATGCTCTCAGTGATGCAGCTGTAGAAGTTGCAAAGGATCCTAGACGACATGCCAAACCTCCTCAGCCTTCTCAGGAAGTATAGCCGCTGTTGGGCCTTCTTGACCAGCTGTGTGGTGTTATGTGTCCAAGGGAGTCCTCACTGATGTGAACACACAGGTATTTGAAGCTGCTCATCTTCTCCACTTTGAGCCCCCAGATGAACAGTGGCCGATGAGATCTCCTCTCCTTCCTCATGTCCACTATCATCTCCGATGTTTTTGGTTAGTCTAAATTAAAGTTGGTATAAAATCAGATCTAACAGTCATCTTTACAGGATTGTGGTCAGAAATCGACATATTATATAAAATGTCTATATCAGCCAAAGCAGCATGTACATCAGCTGTGGAAATACAGTGGTCTAGCCACGATGGTGTATGCCCAGCTTCACTTATGTATGTATAGCTCTGACTTGGCAAGAACTAGACAAAATCAAATTATCAGCACAAAAATGCACCATATGCTTCGCAAAAACAGAGTTCTTGTCTAAGATATTTGCATTCATATCACCCATATAAAACAACTAATAAAAGCAGGCTTGTTCAAATACTTCTCTTCATTTTGGCTGCATTCATAAGGGGCATACACATTTAAAATCACAAGTTCCTTATTGGCCTGTATCAGGCGTATTGCAAAACACCAATCCACATCAAGCCTAACCACACTAATCACCAAGTCCACAAAATAGCCACACCACCAGGAATTCTTCCTTGCTTAGTTCCAAACCCAAGGGCAGTAGTTGACTCTCCAGCACCGAGGAAACTATCATCAATGGAGTTGAGTCCACTTAGGTCCTGCTTAGCAAGAAAGGTCTCTTGTAGACAAAAATGTCAGTGTTCCAACAACTCATCAACAACAGTTTTATCCTCCGCGCTCTGACTTAAGTGCAGGCCATGACAGTTGTATGATATTACTTTTAGATCCATAATAATTATTTACTTGAGCTTGCATTGGCACCGAGAGCATTGCTCAGGTAGGAAGAGCAGCATTAACACTAGCAGCAGTTTTACGTGGCTCATAATAATGCCTCCATAAAGGTACCCTCAGGCCACAGCTCTGGATTATACGTCATCTACTTCATTAGATTCAGCAGATACTTTGAATGAAGCATGCCTGGTGTTACCTGTAACAATTTTATGACATATAACATCATGCCCAAATTTATCTTTTAAATGAGCATATAAAACTTCGGCTTCCAAATCAGGTGAAAATTTTGATGCAAAAACACTAACCAGCTTAGTTTTGATCATCTTAATATTTCCGGCTGCTCCCGTGCCCACGACAATTTTGCCAGCTTTCCTCTGGCCGGCTATGGTTATACCAACATGAGACGCAAGCTTAGCAACAGCCAGCTTCTTTAACTGACGTTGACCCCGTTTCGCTGGGTAGTGGCACAGATTTCAAAAAGCATTTTCTTTGAGGCCTCAATCCACTCTGTATCAAAAGTGTTAACTGCCAGCAAAACAATCTCATCCTGACTTAATGTTTTTAATTTTACAGAGAGGAAGTGCAAAAACTCATCCTCTACTATAACTTTGCCATCAATTGTTGTATAAATCTCAGGTTTTAGTCGACCCTTGGCAAACATGGGAGCTCCAGGAACATGTGCAACCATTGCATCAGCCATCCATCCAAATTTACCTTCATATTTCCACAATATACTAAATAAACAGCAGCCTAGCTTTGCACATCTTCCTCTCTCCACCACATTAAATATTAATCCATGTGTCACTGGTGACTCCAAACAGTGGAGAGTCAACATACAGGGAGATGGTGGCTACCCCTCTCTAGGTAAACAGTAAGGGGATTGTGGATGAGTGGGGACATGACACACACACCCACCACCATTATCAGAACCATCACCACTTCCATCTTGCTCTCTCATGACAAATTATTTTAATTACACAAATCTACCCTTTATGGAAACAGGATGGAACATGTTCATGCAGATTTGTGTCAAGTCAAAGGTATCATTAGAATAACTTCGCAAATCCACATTGTGGTGTTCAGCTGAACAATAGAACAAATTAAAAGTATACATATTTATTTTACAATCTTTAATAAAATTCATAAATGTGACTTAATCATAAAGACTTAAAAATAGGCCATTAAATAGCAGTGTGAGTGCACTGTAAAGATCTATAGGGTAGTTCTGACAGCAATATTTATGCATGCCACACAGTTAACTCATTAAATCTTTCATTCATGACATCCAAGAGTCAAACTAAACTTGGCAATGATTTTAGTAACAGAGCTTCAGATTCAGTAACAGATTTATAATTTACTCACCCCACATATCTTTCTTCAAGAAAGGCATACAGACCATAAAACTGCAACAGAATTATGTAATTTTTTTTCCCTGAACTAACAACTGATATGATGCAAGTCAGTTCCAAAATCAACAGCTGTTTTAATACTGGAGATCCCAATGTCAGTGTACATAGCATACATGCTGTGACACTACAAGGGGAAGCAGAAGTACACATTACAATATCTGAAGCTTCTTGGATCACATTAACAGGCAGAACAGCTTTGTTTAGTCTTGCATATCAGATGAAAGAGAAAAAAAAAGAGTTACAGTTTTCAAACTGGCTAAAAAATAATTGATTACATCTTAACACTAATAAAAATGTATGTATGTTCTTTGAAAAAACAATAGGCTCATGTGTTCCCCCATTGTTTTATGTGCAGAAAGAACGACTCCAGGTGGTACAAGATTTCAAATAGTTGGGCATTATAGTTGATTCACCACTATCCTTCAAAAAGCAAAGTAAGAAAATTGTGAACATAGCTAAAGAATGGACCAGACCATACAGCAGAGTATTCATGAAGCCAGCAAGATAACTGAGGTAAATCCGGTGGGTGACCCCTGCGGATGCGGACTGTAAATTGGGGTTGTTTGGGTAGTCATCCTCTGAACTGGACAGGTAACTGAGGCCACTCAGGAGGAATGTCCCGGAAGTAGACAGAGTGGTCGGCCTCTGAACTGGGCAGGTAGCTGAGGTCATTCCAGTGGTTGGCTTTGGCAGCAGACAATCTACTGAGGTTGTTCAGGGGGACAGCGTAGGGACCCATGTTGATGCAAGGACCATACTGAAGAGCAAACAGAGGGCTGGGGTCTGAAGCGGGGCCCCTTTGGGATGCAGGAAAGAGGCTGGCATCTCAGAAGGAGCCCCTCTGGAGGCCTACTATTAAGCACAAAGTCAGAAGCGGTGATATAGTCACTCATATCAGCCTGCTTGGGATATGCTCAGATGGTTACCTTACCAATCTGCTCAGAAACTGGTGTAGGGGCAGCATTGGTCCTCACCAGCCCACACTAGGCCAGGAATGGAAGCAACACTGGTTCCTTCATCAGGCTGCTTGGGGACTGAGGCTGAAGCTACGTCAACATCCTTGCCAACCTGGTTAGAACCAGGTGTTGTTAGGGACTTACTGGCTAGGTAGGACCCAATATGCAGAACACACAAGCCGAGGGAACGTTCAAGTTTAATAAATAATACAGGATGAGAGACTAAAGAGAAAAAATACAAGGGCTCAATCTGACAGAGAGAAACAAAGGATACCAAATAGCTAAACTAAACAGGGGCCTATTTCAAGAAGGCGGTTTTGTCGAAACTCAGAGTTTGTTAACCCCGAAATGAGGAAAACTCTGAGTTTTCGGTTTCAGAAACGGAGGTAACTTAAACCCGTGAAAGCGGGGTAAGTTAAACCCGTTTCACAAAGAGAGGTAATCTAAACTCAGAGTCAGTTACTA